TTAGAATTGCAGAAGCTGTATGTGCTGTGATTGTGCAATGAGATATAGGATGGATGACCACTGACGGTGCTGTTCGTTTGTTACATGAGTACATTTGAAGGAGCGGGAAACAACCCAGAAGACAAAACCCTAGAGGACAGGTTCTTTGAGCACGAGGTGTGTGTGTGTGTGTGTCGCCTACTCCACTCAGCTGCAATCGTAACATGTTGTACGGCACCTGCCGTCAGCATTCTTGCTCTCATCCACTTCGTTTCGTCTTTATGGCTTTCGATTAAAAGAATTTCATAATGTTAAGAGTAAGTAAGAGTACGTAAATAAGTAAATGGAAGAGTTATTAAGTTTATGAGCAAAGGCTCCAATAGATGGCGTTCACACCTTATGTCTATTGCAGGTTAAACTGAATGTGAACGCCTTTATGCAGCAGTTCCAGTTTGGAGTGTTCTATGCCTACGTTAAACTGAAAGAACAAGAGGTAGGTTAGGGTTCTGATACAGCCTTGTTAATTTCAATCATGAATGCTAAAGTCGTTAATACGTTCTGATGCTAACAATTTATATGTTAAACATTGTTGATTTCTGCTGAGAAATCTTCATTAGGGTTTGATTCAAACTAACATCTTACCCAGATTTACTGAAGTAGCTAAAACACTATCCGTGTGAAGTTGGTAAGAGACTCGATGGACATGGTTTAGTAAAGTAGTTAGTAGGTAGTAGTAATAGTAGTATTAGTCTAGCTTAGTCGTATGGTTTAGTTCTACCAAAGTGTAGCGAATATGTTCGTACATTTCATTGCTGTAATTGCAGGTGCGTAACATCGTGTGGATTGCGGAGTGCGTGGCCCAGCGGCATCGGGCCAAGATCGATTCCTACATACCCATCCTGTAGCCTGCCTGTCTGTATGCTGCTTGATCGCTGACAGTCACGTAATACCTAGCTACGATAATGCACACTGACAAAGTTCGAGCGTTTAATCATGGGTCCTGCTCCGCTACATGAAAACTAAGTCATATTCCTGGTATGGACTTAATAAAGGTGGCCATCCAGTGGATTGGTGTGTGAAGATTAACGTACCGTACCGCAGTAGATTTCTTGTTAACCTATCCCACCCATGATGTCTCGCGTGAAACACTTCATCAGTGGAAATGGAAAAGCTTAGCTGATTTCAACGTCATAAAAGGCGAAAGGAAGAGAATATACTTATAAATTACGTAAGCTAGCTACCGGAATTAGTTGTTACTCTAATGTGGATATAATTACAGCTGTGCTAAATTATTAAGTTACCAATATCGTAGTAGATAGACACCTGTGAGAAAGGTGAATGTAATGTGTACTAATATATGAATGACGAGATATGTGAAATTGTGTGTGCAGTAGTATACTGCATTTATCATATGAATATGAATAAGTGAGTAGTCAGGTGTGAGTTTGTTTACGTGGAAACTGGTTTTCAGATTAGAAGCGAACACGTTCATGATGTGCATGGTCGTCTGTCATCAATGACTGTTAGTCTGCTGCTGCCCTCTGGTGTTGAAACATTCCAACTTGCTGCTTTCTGTGAGTGCTGTGGTATTCATTCATTACCGAATGCTTTGGAGGAACATGTTACGATGTAGTTGGTTGTAAATAATACTGCTGTTGTCATTATAACGTTCCAAATGTTCATGATTATTTTTGCAGCACTAGTGTAAACATTAGTACGCATCGTAATCCTACTGTTGAATACATGGGAAAACTCAAGCTTTGTACAGTCTTTTGAAATCTGGCTGCAGAAGTAGCTGATTGATCTTTGCTCTCCTTCAATCTCCTGTCTGTGCACATTCTTGAGATGTCCTCCATTTCTCTTGCCCTGAGGAATACCTAGTGATGTTGGTTCTGGTTTTTCCCTGGGATTGTGACAAATCCATTTTCATGTCGTCCCGGGATCTGTATGGCTATTCTTTCTCGTCCTGTTCTCTCCTCCTGATTTATAATTTTGAAAGGTTTTAATGTTAATTGAGAACTTTAATTGGCATGATCATAATGCGGGATTGGGGTCTCCAAATGCGGCTGGAATAATTATTGTCACAGCGTCACGTGCACGTGCTATTGCCTGGTAATTAGAAATATTAATGAGACAGCCGAGGTAATCGCCCGGTGAGAGATACTCTTCATTTCCATTAACTATAGCAACAGCATTAACAGCCAGCAGAAATCTGATCTGCTAAGAACAGTAAATGTGTCGTGGACTGCTCGACTTTTTTTTTAAATAAGAGAGGAATGATATTATAACAATGAATGTAATTTTCGAGGATATTCGTAACCAATTTAATTAGCACAATAATCCGCTGCCGGACATTCTAATTATCAAAGACGGATGCTTATTGCTGAAAGCGATTGAAAACGTGAATTTCCGGTCTGTGTAAGGTGAAACGATGGCATTTATCGTTTATTCATAAATGCGAATTTTATTCTAGCATTTTCCGTCCCGGTACATTGTTCCTTCACAGCTGCAGTGAATGATGCAGACGTGAATAGATTAAAATAATTCTTTTCGTGCTGCGCATTTGTGGCTACAGTTTATTTAAGCGCACATTCAAACTGTACCCTATTTCTATCTTCGTCATATCGCATTAGTTTTACTGCGAATTTTCCACCCGATGGGTTCTTTCATAATCTATATTCATTACGTGATTCAGTCCGCTCCTGTTGTAAGAAGTGTGTGATGTAGATTGTTGATCGTGTATCAGCCTCGTGCGGTCTGCGTAGACATAGCGCATTGGTGCGCTGTTCATGGAACTGGACGTTCCGCTTTCATAGAATCTAGTTTCATTTATTTCACTACGAGCGCCACTGATATGTAGGCGCTTTTTTACATTTGGTAGATGCTGTATGCTTCCAAATAAGCATTCACAGTGTGGACTATGATGTTGTGGCGTTACTTTCTGTAAATCTACAAAATGCTTCAAGGCAGCATATACCACCGTTTCCCGTAGGCCAGCACTCACCCTGACATCTCAATACGTGCTTCCGGCAAGTTGGCAAATTCTTATTGCTCCCCTCTTGCTCGTAATAAAAAGCAGCCGCATTCACTCTATTGAAGCATTCGCTATCACTTCTTGATGGTTGCATTTCGATTGGTCTACTTGCCAATGAAAGCTCTTTGCCGCTCGTTGACTTTTTCCATTCATAGGCGCCTGCATGTGGAGGTACGTGGTGGATTGGTTACTTGTGTACTTCAATTATGACGAAGCTATCCTGGATAACGTCATTGTATAGAACCAAGGGTCACATTAAGTCCTTTGTAGCGCCATAGACTCTTCAGTTTTAGTAACCTTAATGTGTGATTGGAAAAAAACTCCTGTCTGATCACAGTTCATTTGGAGTGCGTGGAAATAAGATTATGCCAAAATCTATCTATATCTAATCTATAATACCTCTTTTTAACTTAAAAAACACATTCAAGCATGCAGACATTAGAGTTTGTAGCATATGCGATTAACAATACGCGGTTAAACCCATTTTCATAGGCTCCTTTCCTTCTCTAGGGCTTGGGTGCCTATTGTGCCTATCGGTTAATATAAGGTCCCTTGTAGAAAGTATTTTCATAATGATAGCATGCGTTGAAACTAAGCTGTCAGAAACAAAAGCAAAACAGTGACATGAAACTAATACGTATTGGTTTGAATCCTGGCATCACCACTCAGGTATACATTTTCGTCGTATATATCATGATAAATCACCCGGTTAAAATATAATATATTATAATAATTATATATATATATATATGGGTGGCTCTACTGAACATGTTAACGAATTGACAGCCAGCATTCAAAGCCCACCATTTATGTAAATTATGAAAATACACTGCCTGGAAATCGGTCGTCGAAGGCGCCAACATGATAAACTGCTGACTCCGCAGAAATCTCGAATGAATGTAAAGCCGCAGAGCCGCGCCATCTTGGACATGTCCTCGTACAGGCTGTGGCGCATTGTCCATGGTCAGGCTAGGGCAGAACGCGCCATCTCTATCCCACCCCCGCTCGGACATCGCTGACTCCTCACCCGCCCCACGCCCTTGTGCGCGTGCGGGCACACCACAGCGCCATCTGTGAGGCACGCTGAGCAGGCAACTGGTTGCAGCGACGAATGCGTCTACACGCGCTGACTCCGGTCGGCTGGATCTCCGCGGGTGTCATGGCGGCGAAGCGGCTAACGACTGGACTGAGCCTCGATGCGAGCACGACAGTGGCTCGCCGGCTCCCCGCCACCGCGACAGTCAAACGCCGCCGCGTTGACCGGCTTTCGCTAGGCGCCCTCGATCGGGCGCCCCCTGTCGGCGGCGAGTCGCAGCACGATGACGTCAGCACGCTTGCAGACGACCGGTCGCGGAGGCGGTCGCCGCGGTCGTGAACATAGCGGCGGTGTGAGTCGTCACGTAGCGAGGCTGGTCGGCCGCCACCATCGCAGCCGCGTGCGCTGGTCCGTTCGTCGCTGACATGAAAGGACGCGAGATGCGACCGGTGCTGTGTGCGTGGCAGCAGCAGTTAGACGCGCCCCGGGCGTCGTCGCCCGCGTGTGTGCGCGGCGAGGGCGGTGATACGGCCCCGTCTAGGTGTCGGTCCTCGCGCGGGAGACCTGTCGGTTCGTCCCTCAGTTCTGCAAGCGCGAAGCGAATGTGTATTTCAAGAGAACATTATGGAAAAGAAAGCAAGAAGTTGAAATGTTTTGTTTCTGCATGCTTTCCCTAGAGACCTGTTCCCTGTCTCTGCTCTAAATGTAAATAAAGTGTACATCTACTATCATATATATATATTTATATTTATATATTCAAAATGTATAAACATGATACCCGTCTACGCTTTTCCTTGTTTTCCACCCCAACAATTTTTACGAGGTTAAAATTTAAGCAATTTATGTCGTGTTCTATATCTGGAGTATGCAACACTCATTAAATTTATTCATCATTACCAACAACAACACCAAACGGGCCACATCTTACAATCAAAGCTGACATGAAAAACAAACAAAAATTGAAGCCTCTGCAAATTTCCTTTACCTGGTTGGCATCGAGCCACTTGATGGTGTGGTTGCACGAGTCAAGGATCACCTTCTTCTCATTTTTAGAGATCTTGTCCTTGAATTTCTCATTCTGAACAGTGCATTTCATGTTTTTCAGTGCATTTTCAGTGCATTTTCAGTGCATTTCAGTGGTGTGTGCATTCAGTGCATTGGTGTGTTCATTCAGTGCAGTGCATTTTCAGTGCATGTTTTTCAGTGCATTTTCTGTGTTTTTCAGTGCATTTCATGTGTGCATGAATGTTTCACAGAGCAAAAGCTCTGTAGAACATTCATGGCAGTGAAGTTCTCCCTCCGTGCATTATTCTTGCGCTTCAACTCCTTTGCTTCTGCCACCATGCGCGCAATGCACTCCTGGCCAATACGACCTGCAAAAACAATTCACGAAGTGAGTACCATGCAGTGTAGGCTGCATGCTGCCAACAAGTTTTGTGAATTCTACTGAAAGCAGTATCTTTTCCATATACGTTTACTTTGCCAATTCTACCTCAGTAAACACAGAGCAGGCTATTAGAAATCGAAATAAGACTGCACGAACAGAGCTCACACATCCAAGGAAGTAAAATTCCTCTTCGAGGCATTGATAACCTCTCTGGTGGAAACCGCGAATGAGGAAAAATATTCATCATTGCTCTGTACATAAAAATAGAATATCCCCTTCCCCATACAACCAGATGGACATACCCTTATCTTTGATGGTAATTTTGTTATTATTGTTAGTACTCGTCTCTACTGCCGACACATTCAAGATGCCGTTATCATCGATATCGAAGGTAACTTCAAACTTAATGACTCCTCGTCGAGCTCGGGGAATACCAGTCAACTTAAAGTAGCCTAGCAAGTTCTGAAAAATTAACACAGGACTACTTAAGCATGCAAAATTGTTTCACAAAAACAAAATTAAATTAGTGTTGATATCACAATCAAGAGACGTTCAAAGATAAGTTCATGTATTGCATAAACGCCGAAGGTCAACTTATCAAGACCAATGAAGATCATACTATACAACACTTACATTGTATTTGGTTTGTTCTCGTTCACCCTCGTAGACTCGGAACACCACACAATCCTGGTTGTCCTGGCTGGTCTCGAGGATGGACGTCTGCTTCGTGGGGATGGGCGTGTTACGCTTGACGACAGTAAACATCCTATCTCCAGTGACCCCGATGCCGAGTGACAGCGGCGTGACGTCCAGCAGTAGCACATCCCGCACCTCCTCAGACTTGTCTCCGGACAGGGTGGCTGCATGCAGCGCAGCGCCGTACGCCACAGCCTCATCCGGGTTGATGCTCATATTCAGTTTCTTTTGGGGAGAAAATGTCATTAAGATTGCGCATAAAATGCTAAGAACACAAACAAAGAAGGAGCAAGGTACACTTAAACGCCCAATTTATCGCGTACACGGCAACTATAATCACGAGTCATGACAACGAGATGAATTGCCCAAACGCTCGTTGGAGGCTCAACCCGTATCCCCAAGATCCAGAAGCTCCTGAAGGACTTCTTCAACGGCAAAGTATGTCTAAAATCCTGGAGCCGGTGGAGATTGCCCTGCGTGACTCCAAGATGGTCAAGGCTCAGATCGACGACGTTGTGCTTCGTGGAAGAGATCAGCATTGAGCTCTTCGAAACGGGCTCTCGTGATGGACGTGGAGTAGTCAATGCCCTCGAACAGAGCGTCGATCTCGATGCTTAAATACAAATAGATAACTTGTCAGTAAAATTCCCATGCAGCACTTTTACACTAAAACATTTTCTCAATGTTTCTGCACCAGATTTCCCACAGGTGCACAATAATCCCCCAGATATTCAGTGATGTAACTGGCTACACAGTGACAACTATAAAAACACTTAAGTTATGATTGCCAACATTAGTACCACCAACTTTTAACTATCATTACTATAAATAAGTTTTTGCATGCCTGCACTCACACACACGCACGCACGCACGCACGCACGCACGCACGCACACACG